CGAAGGCACGGAAAAATTTTTAAATTTGAATCCCGGAAATGGCATTTGCAGCATTCTGAGACACGCATAATCAGAAAACCCAGAATTCCGGGCGCCAGAGTATGCCTGTTCGCAGGTAGTGCTGTGAATAATATAGTGAATAACCTGAAGTTCAGGCCCTAATTTGAAATAGTGAACAAAAATCATGACCAAAGACACCAAAAACGGATCAAAATTGTATTTTAAAATACTTAAAACGTAGAAAAATTGGGAATCAACTCGCATTACCTCAATCCCATTCCCATTTTTGAGGACTTCATTTCCCATTCCCAGTGGCCAAATCCCAGTCCCAGCAACCCAAATCCCATTTTCCCAGTCTAAAAATAGATCAATCCCAGTTCCCATTTTACCCCTTCAGGGCCCTCCATATTCACCAGGGTAAAACATCATGAGCTAGATTAATTAAACAGATTGTCCTAATATCTAACTTGGAAGCTGGTCAACTCGGCCCACTGACCAGCTCGGCCCATACGATCTTGGCCCAATTGTTAACTACTGTTTGACATATTAGGAAAGCTAATATTATACAAAAGATAGCACCAAACCAATACAGCCATTTGCAGTTGCATTTGGTGTACAGATGAGTAAAGTTTGAGAACATCCAGTTTGACTTAATTTAATTAAAGAATCTTTCAAATCTCTCTCAAAATTTTAAAGATAGAACGCAGTCATGGCTCCTAGCTTGTTTAATGGTTAGATTAGTCTGTTTTTAAAAGCGGCGGAGTTGGTCCTTGAACGGTGGGCCGAGTTGGTTAGTGGGCCGAGTTGGTTAGTGGGCCGAGTTGACTGTAAAGCTCTAACTTTGCCTGCAACGCACACCTGTTTCATTGCTGTTAATTTTTCAATTCACACTGTGGAGGGGTCAGAAAAGTTTCTACTTTTATGAGGGGGAGGCACAAAAAGTTTGCCTACAGTCTGGGGGGGGGGAGGGTCAAAAAAGTTTTCAATCCTTATTTTCCCCATTTCCCAACCCCCCTCCCATAAATAATGACCACTCCCTAATATTTGGGTGAGTTTTCACTGCCTGGAAACCAATGTACCAAACGTCACGTTGCTATGCTATTCATTACAGTATTTGTTGCCGTTTCAAGGCAATATTGCCTATCTGATATTTATCGATCCTTCGTATTCAGAGAGAACATTTCGTGAGCAGGTGCCAGGTGCCAGCCCCTCTTGACTGACACAATACGGTATTTAAATTAAAAGTATTTCGGCTGTAGACTCGTCCCAGTACTGAAAGACACGACATTCTAAATGACGTGGATTCGACAACAACATGGCCGCTACTAAAGGCCCAATGTTGCCAACGCATTATAGGTCTGTAAACGTGCAAAAAAGCGGCCTCCGTGTGCGTGAAAAATATGTCCTTGTTATAATATGCGGGATATTCTGTTGTCTCATGTTTGGTGCTTTTTTCTTTGTTCCTGACCTTAGTTCGGTGGGATACTTACAGGCTGGCAAACAAGCATTGTCCAAGTTAGTTTATAATGCACGCGATAGAGTTGTTGTGCCCATTAGACCCCCTGTTAAAGACGATTTAGATGATATCTTAAAAGGTGAGGTTTTTTAAGTATTTTTTTATTCTGATGGGTCTGTTTTTGTAAGAAATATTGCTGTAGTTTTATGTTATGTAATACTGTGTGTGAAAAATGTATTTATATTATTATTATCAAGTAATATTAAGACGTGTTCTATAAATGTATAATTTGTTACAATTTGGAAAAGTTTATACGGATTTTCAATTCTTATGAATCTGCTATTCAAAGCAAGCAATTGTTTTTTTTTTGTCATCAATTTTTGCAAATTTTTACAATTTTATACAAAGAGTTTTTGTTTTGCTAAATTCTAGTATAGAGGTTTTCAAACTAGCCTTCCCTTGACTGCAAACTCTTCCCTTCAAACTTTCAAGTACTATAGGGGAGTGAAAATTTAATTAGTTTGCCGTCAACATTGGTGATATTTATATTTTCTTGTACAAAATTTAATACAATCGAAGAACATGAGGTAGAGAAAAATAAAGTTGACAATAAACCTGTTGAGAATGATAATGATGACAGTGATGATGATGATGCTGATGAACAAGTGAAAGAGAAAATTCAAAGAGAAAAAGAAAAATTAAGAGAACAAAGAAGGGAAGAGGAAGAACAAAAGAAACAAGAAGAGAAAGAACGATTGCTTCGAATGAAACCAACAAAACATAAAGAAAAAGCAGGTGGTGGTGAACCTAAGGATGAAGAGACAAAGAAAAGACAAGACACTGTGAAAAAGGTGGGAAATTATTCAGATGCTTCTCTTGTGACACTAGGAAGCCAGACTACAGAGTATGGCAGTAATTGTCCTCAATTCATTTGCAAGCTAGATAGTATGCAAATTTCATTTGAGGCATATGTGCACAATTTGCTTAAAAAATTTTCAAGTACCTTTGCAAATGAGTAGCGTCAATGTCACTTATTATGAATATACTTTTATTGAACTGCACTAGATGATGGAAAAAGCGTGGAGTGGTTATGTTGCGCATTCTTGGGGTCAGAATGAACTCAAACCAATCAGCAAAATGGGTCATTCTGCCAACATCTTTGGCTCACAATCTATGGGTGCTACGATCGTTGATGCCATGGACACATTGTATATCATGGGCCTTGAAGACGAATTTAAGAAGGGTCGAGACTGGATTGCTAGTAACTTGTCTTTTGATAAGGTTGGTTGTTTAACGACAGTGTATTGCTGTACAACTATACACTGCTGTTTTATTAAGGGGTTTCTATTCTATTCTTCATTCTTGATTTTAGTTCTTGCATTCAAACTCAAATATCTGCATCTAAAACTTATTAATTTTACTAAGTTTTGATCCATTATAATTGTTTAGTCTATGACAGTGTCTGTATTTGAGATCTGTATTCGTTTCCTTGGAGGCTTGTTGACCAGTTATGCTTTAACAGAAGACGAGGTAAGATAATTACAGTACTTTCTATAAACATACATATATATGATACTGTTAACAATACATGCGTGTGGGGCTGTAACTGACTTCAATAGACACTTTAAAGAACCTCTCATGCTGGATAATTTAATAATGTTCAGGTTTTCAAGATAAAAGCAAAAGAAGTTGGTGACCGTTTACTACCAGCATTTAACACTCCGACTGGTATACCATATGGACTAGTTAATCTTGCAAGGTATTGGGGTTTTAATTAATTTATCTTCATTTATTAATCTTGTTACAGTAGTTCACTCCAGATAATAAATTATTTTTATATCAGCAACAGTTGTACATGATATTTTATATTGAGGATGATCTACGTCATGATTGCAGCATCATTGTTTTAACTCTATTACCTAACTTGCTATAAATATTTTTATTTGTTAGTGGTTCAGGTCACAACTGGGGTTGGGCATCTGGAGGTTCCTCTATTCTTGCTGAGTTTGGAACACTTCATTTAGAGTTTGTCTATCTTTCACATATTACTAAAGATCCTATTTATGCAGAAAAGGTATGGACAGAGACACCAATCTATACAAACTAACCAACCAATTGACTGACATATTTGAACACTATATATATGTATGTTTTCTACAGGTGAAAAAAGTACGAGATGTTGTAGACAGAATGAACAAACCCCAGGGCCTATATCCTAATTATATAAACCCAAGGAGTGGAGCATGGGGTCAAAGTAAGTTTAGTATACTAGCTATACACTATGTACTGTAGTTACATAATTGGACTACTTAGAGTAATTAATAACATATATACATCATGAGAATCAAAAGTGTTTGTTTTATTTTAGGTCATGTTTCTCTTGGTGCTTTGGGTGACAGTTTTTATGAATATCTTATAAAATCATGGATACAAAGTGGAAAAACTGATGATCAAGCGAGAAAAATGTATGATGATGCAGTAGAGGTATTATGAAGAACATGCAGTTATTTGATTTCTTAGGTTGAATTACTTTTGTTCAAATGACAAATTGTATTGATATTGTATTTCTGAAGCTATCAAATACTTCATGAAGCATTTTACAGTGCAAATTTTTGTGGTAGTTTTAAATACGGTATATACACTGTCTGTATATATCATTGGATGCCTAATTGACCCTCGACTAAAGTATAATTTTAATACATTAATTTAATTATCAATTTCAAGCTTGTGTGTGTTTTTAGGCAGTGGAAAAGGTTATGGTTCAAAAGAGTTCTTCTGGTTTGACATATGTTGCGGAATATAGATTTGGTAGTCTTGAACACAAGATGGGTCATCTGGTAAGGTCATTACTGACTGATTGAATTAATAAAGTGAATTATAATATAGCATTTGTAAATTCTGAATGCTGATTGGCTAAGAGCTGTGTTGATATAACTCAATGTATGATCATCCACTTTCACCATCCATGAAGATGAATTTTGTACATATAGTACTTCATCCAACTAGACATACTTGGGTGTATATTTTATCTTGGCAGGTGATTTGCCTGTCACAGCTTCTGCATATATCTATAATAAGTATAAATTGGACTGTTCAAATTCACATTCAAAGCCATTATTCATATGAGTGTGGGTACGGAGGTCTTGTAGAAGGCTGCATTATAATGAAAATGAAAATTACCTGAAATCCACTCTTTAGGCATGTTTTTCTGGCGGTATGTTTGCACTGGGTGCAGCCGGTTCACGAAACAACAAGAAAGATCATTATGTTGACTTGGGAGCAAGAATAACTAATACTTGTCATGAGTCATATAAGAGAACAGGTATATAGATCATATCTATGTAAACTAAAAGGCCACCCAACTGGTATGTAAAGGCTACCCAAGACCTTATTTGATCTGTAATGTTGAACTGTACTAACAGTCACATTGATAAATTTTGCAATGGCTACAAGCCCGATTACATGTACAGAGAAGAGCTCAACCGAAAGTCACAAATTAGTGCTATGTCTGATTCGAATTATTAACTATTTTTTGCAGCAACTGGTATAGGACCAGAGATGTTCTTTTTCCAAGGTCCACACGAGGCGAAAGGAATAAGGAGTAGTGAGCGGTATTACATTTTACGTCCTGAAGTTGTGGAGTCCTATTTTGTCATGTGGAGAATAACACATGACCAGAAATATCGCGAGTGGGGCTGGGAAGCCGTACAGGTAGGATGAAACAATTGCCCGTAGATTATACTATCTGTTAAACTTGCCAGAATTTGCTCAGATGGATGATGTGTCCCTATAATAAAAATAACTACTTAATCTGTCTTGTCAGGCAATAAAGAAACATTGTGAAGTGGGAGTTGGTTTCTCTGGTATTCGTGACGTGGATAACGTGCCTGTACAACACGATGATGTACAGCAAAGTTTCTTCTTGGCAGAGACCTTAAAATATTTATATCTTTTATTCTCTGATGATTCACTTATACCCTTAGATCACTGGGTATTCAATACTGAAGCTCATCCCCTTCCTGTTATTGGTAAAACCTAGGAATGTGATATGCAGCTAGTGCATTTAAATTTAGTATAGGTGGTTTTAATAAGCATTGCAGGACAACAGATAGTCAAAGAAATTCTATTAATTTGCTACCAAATGCAAAACTGACATAATTTATAATGAAAATAATTATCATGGTTGACCACCATCTGTTGTATGGTGATACTTGGTTGAATCCACCTATATAGCGAGACCAGCAGTTTTTCTATATGATCTTTACAATAGAAATAAATCTAACCCAGATCTAAACCTAAGGACACTTGGTTGGTTACCTCTTACTGTTTGGTTTATGTGTGAATTTTTTTTAAAAAAGTGATGTACATTAGCATTTTCCTTCCCCATATCTGACAAAGTTTTATACAAAAGAGTTGGGTGCAAGACAGCAACATGATGACAGCAAACAGTTGAAAAGTTGGAGAGGTCTGATCTGCATATGTGCAAATTTTTCCATTCAGCATTAGAAGGGGAAAATGTAGGCCTGAAATGCAGGTTTGCAGTCCCTATTAGGTTGCTGTCCTGGTTCCAAATCTTTATTTCGTACAAATACAATCTTCTTATAGTTGATAACATCCACACATTTGACTTTAAGGCAATTTATTTAAATATGGGTTCATTCATAGTCTATATACTATACATGTAGTAATGTACTTTTATATGAAATTTGTGAATATGCTAGAAGTACATTAGAAATATGCAATTATAGTATAGTAAATATTACAAATTTTCCAATGCCATGAAGACTATATTTTACATGAGCTGATGACTGTAAAATTTGTACTTCACATATGGCCAACATTTCAGCCAATAGTTGTGAATCTTGTGATTGTGCATAATTATGATGAGCCTGGCCTGGGACATTTGTGTGATGTGATCTCATTGCCAATTATAGCAAAGAGAGCCTTGGGACAGACTACATCAGAGCTCTTGAGTGAGGTATTATACCTTGCAAGGTGGTGAGACTAACCTAGCCCTGTGGAGTGGAGGCTATGGTGAAACAAAATTGATCATGTTTGGTCTCTTGTAGCAGTTAGCTCAGCCAAGAACTCTTGTGTGCATCAGGCTTAACACATCCATCTAACATCCAACAAGAGGAACCACTACCTCCTACTTTTATGGTTATTCCAAAACAACTGAACTGGTAAAGATAATGATTTGTTTCTTAATAAGTCAACACGATAATTTCCTTTCTTTGTGAGATCTCCAATGCTCACAACTTTTACTTGTCCGAATTTTATTTTGTCTTTGCTTGGCTGAGTTTCGGATATTCTCTTGATAATGTCTCCTTCAACTACCTTCAATAAAAAACACATTTTACTTGTAGGAGGTCAAGGGTGGTGGGGCAGATCCTCTTGTAACAGCACTTCACACCAACATTCATTTAGAAAATGGAGTATTCTTGATGACGTGTATTAAATAGCTTTGACTGACGAAAGAGGTTAAAGCCTGTATATATATATACTGGCTTGGAACTAATTTGCCCAACTGCTAGATCAACCCATTGACATGACTGAACTTACTTGTTGACTTTTCTTTGTGACTTGCTCTTCATTGAGAAAGATTTTTCCAGCAAGAAGGGAGTGATCAATTTTCCTTTCACATGTATTAATGAAAAATAATTTATGTCACTGAAAAGTTATGTTCTATTGATCAGTATAGCAGTCTACATTTGTGTGTGAAAGTGTGGGTTATTTTAATTGTTAAAGTGTTTAAGTGTGGGATGAGACCACTGATCTAATAATAGACATGAGACCATGAACTCGGACCAATTGTTAGCTTGCCGAGTTAAAACCTCGCTTTAATACTGGATGATACTTATTTGAGAGTTAAGATTATTCTGTCTATCCATATAACTTAGGCATAATATTCTGGGGTATTCTTGTTGATGAAGTCCCTTGGGTGTGTAGTTAGTTTTGGATAGTAGAGAGCAATTAACAGGAGGGGTATCTCATGCTCGACCTTTCTGTTGGATGGGCATTTCAAGTATAAGCCACCATGCACTATAAAGTGAAGAAATAGAAAAACTCGTTCCACCTTCTTGCTATACCCAGTCCTGAAGCTGCAACACGGTCAACTCGCAGTGATGTAACAACCAACTGAATTAGTTTTCCAGAATTATCATTGTCTGATTGGTTCGAATAAAATCTACATCCAAGAACTACCTTCATTCCATGTATATTTGTTCGTCTAAATAATGAAATACAATTTGTATTTGAACATGATTTTTGAAAAGTACGGAAACCCGTCTGGAACATAAAATTCACCATATTTTAGTGTTTATGTTTACAGAAGATTTAGTTTTCAGGGGGGGGGGTCTTGATATGCTTAATGCATCTCAGAGTGTACGCGTATTTGAATAATTTTGAATTTACGCTTTTGGACTTATTTTTTTCTGTTTAATTTTTACTTCAAATGCAAAGGTGATGGGAAACGTAAGTTAAAGAACATTGATTTTTTTGTAAGTATTAAAATATGAACATTTTAGTAATTTTACTGTATAAACATTTGCGATTTGCTTCCCCCTGGTTATATCGATCGGCATCGGCGTGCAAAATATGGCGCCAGTACAAAATTGAAGTTATTAATTACAAATAGCTTTGGGAAGTTTCTACGTTGCCATAGGCCCATAAAGAATTGATTGTGTGGTATTGTACTACCTGTCTGTTATATTTAAATAGTTAATGATACAATGCAGATTGATAATTATACAAACAGCTTAATTAGTTAATTGGAGAGTTTTTACTTTGCTAATTGCCAAGGGTTGCAGGGCATTTTTAGGCCCATAAAGAACTGATTATGTGGTATTGTGCTATATGTTCGTTATATCTAAAAACAGTTAATGAATACAACGTCGAAGAGACGTCGTGGCGAGCATTAATAATTCAAAATATTGTGGAAGTAGCATCATAAAGCAGTAAAGGTTGTGAAAATTCCATCATGCGTTGTTTGAGATGGTTTCGTATTTCTATTCCTAAAACCAGACGTATTTTCTACATATGTTCATCGTTTATTGGACTATATTTGCTACTTATTCTTGTACTAAAAGTAAAAGATTTTACTGCATTAAAATCGCCGATAAGTGGATTGAGTTTGTTAAAGCATAATAGCAGGCTAACCTCTGCAAAGCCAACCGAAAGCGTACCAAATATCATTTTGCAGAAACACACTGGAGGTTTTGAAAGTGAACCGCCAAGAGACTGGAGCATTAATGGCGCTTTAAATGTCCACACATGGGCATTTGCATGTGAACTCAGTTTGCAAAAATTCCTACAGAACCCTCTATTTCCAATTTCCCCAAATGCACAAATGTTTGTGGGTAATTTGGAAATGAAATGGATAGAAGAGAGTAGCAAGAATGTGAAGACATTTGGGCGAAGAATATTTGGTTTTATATTTGCACCTTTTACTGGGAAGTATAAATTTTCAATGTCAGTAAGCAGCAATTCAGAATTATGGCTAAGTAGAGACCTAAATTGGAAAAATGTTCAACTTTTATGCAAAAGAAATTCATCTGAGTTTTACTCATCTGAAATTCACTTAAAGGAGCACCATTTTTATTTCATGGAAATCTTACTGACCCAAACTCCTCAAAATTCTTTTCATTTGATGTGGAAAATGCCACATTCTGAAAACTTTGAAGAAATATCCAAGAAATATTTATACTCCTTTATGGAAAAATCTCTTGAATTTAAGGAATTTATCAAAGATGTCCCTTTGACTACAGTTACTCAAAGTTACATAAATAGTCATCCAAAGCACTCGATTTCATCCAGCACTGAAAAATTTCTTTCTGGTGTTAAATATGTTGAGTGGAGTGATGTGAAATTTGCTTTACCTCTTTGCCGCTATCAGCCAGGTTATGTAGGGAAAAGAGTATTACATCAGTATCATGCAGTGGAAGATTTTGTTAATCCATCCTATGTGTATCCTGAAGTAAAACATGGCAAAGTAAATGATGGAAAATGGAATCCATGGTTTCCACTTAGTGAAGAAGAAGCATTGGATATTGTAGAAAAATATTTGAAACATCTTGGAGATGCATATCCTGGGTGAGTTTTAAATATCAACTTATTTTACCTTATGGGTAAAATCATTTGGCTTTAAGCTGAGTAAAGTAAGTTATGCCATATTCATTTCCCTTATCTCATCTGGAGCAATTTAAATTTATTATATTTTTATTTTATTTTTAGAAAATATAAGTTGAAACAAATTCTCAATGTGGAAAAGAAGCCTGACTGGAATAAGTGGAACCAGGTGTTTTACAAAGGAACATCAAAAAACGGAGATAGGTTTTTCCTGGAATTATTATTGTGCGATAACACAAACAATGAAGATGTTATCCTGTCAGAGTATGTGTACCAATATGAGAAGACTACAAAACTATGTTACCCTGAGGGCATGCAATGGAATAAAACTGCTCCAGTATGTTTATTGATTTCTGCTCGTAAGCAGGCAGCATGGGTGTGGCATTTTATAAAGAATGTGGAACGAGTTTACCAGAGCACAGCAGATGAAAACCTACATGTGATTGTGTATGACTACAATAGCACAGATATCGATATTGAAGCAGAATTTCAACGGAGTTCTTTTAAGAACTATAAGGTTTTAAAGAACCCTGATAGCAAGTATTCAAGGACATATTCATTAAACAGAGCAGCAGAAGCTGTGACAGACCCAAATACAATTGTTTTTACATTAGATTTGCATCTTGAAATTCCACCCTTATTTCCTCACAATGTCCGTAAGGTGAGTTATCAGTGTATGAGTTAGTTATCATATGCATGCAGCTAATTCAAAAAAGGTTGTCCTTTGCAAACCTTAAACTCTAAACCTTCAACCTTAAACTCTAAGCGCACAAAGCTTAATTGGAGCAAAAGTTTCAAGCTTAGTAGTTGAATATTGCAACTATTTGTGAATGAATTGTTCTCGTAAGGAGATATTAACCATGTCTCTAAGAAATGGGCACCATATATGTTTTCTAAACTGATTAAATGAGTTTAAGGTTTATTGGCTACTCTATTTATTGGCCACCAAATACAAGACTACTGTAGCTAATGAAAAGAATTAACATTGTTTTTTCATTCTGATAGCTGCAGGTTGACCATCATCTGCTGCACAACAGTGCTTTGACAAACCTATCTTGAGAATCTTGTTTCATATTAGATTGTTTTATATACTTACCATATCTCATTTTTAGCATTGTATAAAAGGTAAAATGGTCTACACACCCATCATTACAAGACTGGCATGTGGTGCCTCGGCAAGATACCTGACCGGATCATGGGATCCCTGGGGATATGGAATGTTTGGCGCATATAAGGCAGATTGGGATCATTTCAAGGGATTTGACGAAGTGAAGTTTAAAACAAAGTGGGGTGGGGAGGACTGGGATCTAGTGAATCGAGCATATGCAGTTGGATTGGAATTTGAGAGAATAAAACATGCTGATTTTCATCATTATGATCACTCTAGAGTTGGAATGTGGACATAATAGTTTCACTGTAACATACGAGTAATAGTTATGGTTATTTGTTAGGCCACATAAAATAAATTCCTTGATTCTCATCACTAGACTTTGAAAATGTCGAAGAGCCGGGAGGTTTATATTTTATATTTATATAATTTATCATCAATAAATAAAAAACTGATAATTCCTAACATATAATATTTCTGTGATTTCCAAAGTGAAGTGTCACAAACCAAAATGAACATATTTCTCCACGAACAATGACTGAACCCTTCAACTGAATGCGAAGTTCCGTTAAAATGCAATGAAATTTCCTTCAAGGTTCTATTTGTTTGAAATTGGCAGTTTAAAATGGCACTAAAAACCCAATTTTAAAAATAAAAAACTTAACTTTCTTGAAATATTTTGTCGGGCGGTTCATTTATATTGTATAACAAAATATAAAAAAATTCACGCGGCTCTTAAAATACAGTCGGGCGGTGATGAGAATCAAGGAATTTATTTTATGTGGCCTTAAGTAGTAATTATCAATTCTACTGGAGTTATAATTTCTAATAATCAAGCATATGTTAACTAATTATCATTTGCCTTTAATATATATTTTTTATTCATGATGAAAAATACATTTTTAACTCAACATAGCAACGTTTCTAATTGAATCTTAATTCATTCATTATTAAAATTAAATTAATTATTTTCCAATCAAATATTATAGAACAAATTAAAAGTATCAAATAATCATTAGCACATGCACTACAACAGTACATTCTTTCCAGTTCTTATTAATAATTTTATTCCTCCACCAACATCTGTGTTCTTCCTGATTCGATTCCCAAAAGTATCTCGGAATATAGTTCTGTCATCTACAAAGAATAAAACAACTTATATAAGCGAAGTTTTACGATTTTGACTGGAATAGCCATGGTAATATATATAAGCGCCCTGGTCCACACCATAGATTTACGCTTTTATATATGGTGCAAATTCTAAAACAAGATTTACTGCTCAGAAACAAGGACGTCCACCTTGCTATGTTTTCATGAATGAAAGTTTGTACATAACCTAAACAGCTAAACTATACCTTTGTTTCATAAAAATGTTTTAAATCTGACAATTGTTTCAGTAATCTCATCCCCATTCCGCACCATTTCTCTGCCGCCTGGTATTTGCCGGCACTATAATGAATGAAGATAAAAAAACTGAGTTAAGCTCTAGCCAGACGAGAATGAGAGTTGAGAAGCGAGAGTTTGCATGAGAGATTATTTCCTAATACTTGATGACAAAGTTTTCACTGATTGCAGGGCGCTTTTTGACCAGTCACTTTCGGTAAAGAACAAACTAATCTTCATTTGAATTAATAATCAAAATAAAGTTGTCAAGTATTGTAATTAAGAACCATAATATGTTGTCGAATATTTTGCGGGAAAAGAACTTCAATGTACGCCAGCTTTCCCACGCGGTACGTCACAAAGCCCATGCATGGCCATGCTTTTAGCGCAGTGCAAGCTGTTTTATGACTATGTGAAGGAGTTTTTAATTACTGATTACAGTAAGGCTTTTTGTATAATGCTATACTGGGAAAATAGTCACATTTTTAGGGGTATACTTTACTGGCGAGGAATTCGGTATATCCGAGCTAAAATTGAGTTGGTTGGTCACCTTGACCGGCGACCCTCCAGCCGTTATTTCGCGCTGTGGATTGTACATTTACTTACCCGTACAAATGAACTCCAGTATTCCACGATTTTGTCATCAACCATTGAATCTCGATCTCGGGTATTGTGGACTATTAATTGTGAAATGAAAGTTGTTAAATGTTTGATGCTGGACGGTGCGAAAAAGATTAACACCGAATGAGAATGACAGGATGTAAATGTTAAGATGGATCACAGGGCTTTCACAAAGGGATAAGATGTGTGAAAATCAGGGGATGTATTGAAGAGAAGGTGAGGGAAACAAGGGTGAGATGGCATGGACACATATGGAGAAGGACAACTGGTTAGAGACATCGAGCTGAAGATAGGAGAACAGAGGACGACAGATCGTGGAACTGACTGTGAACATGACAAACCAAATGGAGGACATACAACAATCCCAATAGACACGAAGAAGACATGACAATTGAGCCATGCCTGAGATCATGTTATTCATTGTTATACTCGCATGTTTCACGCGTGTATTATACCTCTCTATCACTCTCAATGAGGTTAGCGACTTCTTGAAAAAAGCTCCATGATTCTTCTTTACTTTCAACATCACCACTGGCTCCATTCCTGAGACATATCTCAATCAATCCACGGTAAGATTTGCTGTGTGAAAAAGTTTGTGAATGATTGCTTAGGCCTAATAAAAAATATGGTTCCACTTTCATATCCTGAAAACTTTATGGTCAGTTGACATTTCCAGAACACATAAAAATTTCAAGAAGTAATAACTGTGGGCGATGGACACGATTTTTGCCATTACGTTGTAAAGCAAGCAACAAAGAAATGGGATCAATCGGGAAATTGGAACCACAGGATATCTGGAATATTTTTCAAAATGATTTCTTCATTTCTACACATACCTGCAGCTGAGATAATCAGGGGATGAAAAGTTGTTCTTGCAATGGGTTCGGATTGCTAATACCAAAGCATTCTTTGTGATTTGAATATTTCTTGGTGTGTTGGGAAGTTTAGTTGAGAGTGCTGGAAAATTGCAAGCATCAAATTATAATAGTATTTATCTTTGCTGGATCTAACGTTAAATCTTGTTACTAGCGTTAGAATGTTGGAAATAATTTCCATACCCGCTATTGTTTCAAATGTTTTTCCATCGGTATTAGGAAGTTTGGAGATTTGATCCAGTAGACATTCAACATCATCGTAATTTAAGTTCGCTTTAGCATCGAACTCGTACACAGATAATACGACAGGAACATCATCTGTGTTCTGTTGATCTAGGTAGAAAAAACAACATGCCTTTATTAACATCCCAAATGTGGGGGTCCGGTGTAGTAGGCTCTACAATCAGCTGCATGTTCATGGCCTTGCGTCTGAACTATCAGAAAAACATATCTTACACGTGGGGGTAAAATACAGATACTATTTTACAATATTAAAACTACCGTTGTTTATGTCTGAGCTAACTAAAAAAAATAATTAAAAAAGACTAGACATCTCGTTGTTAATTAATAACTGATATACGCGAAACCAAATCGGGCCCTGCTCTATTGATATGAAGCCGTTATCGACACGGCATATTTCCAATATATGTTGAAAACATCTGCCTGTTTTCCATTCCATCAATACGAAACATAGTATTGTAGTGTTTTCTTTTGGGTATATCAAAGTCGTAAATTTCGTTCTTCATGGAACAAAGGTTATGTATGTTTCGGTACATTACAGTTAATAGAGGTTCAGATTTAACTCGCGCTACTTCTCCTTAAGGCTTAATACACATCTGATTGGCTAATCGGGTAGATTAAATTCATCTGATTGATTAATATTAGCGGTAGTGGATCAGCATATTCTGAACCTCTCCACTATCACGAAACAAAAAGGCTTAAAATAAAAGCACATCCTGTTTTACTAACCTTGATTAACACTTTTGTTCAATAGTTGTAATATTTTCCGACAATCATTGACATGATCCAACACTTGCATAAAACACTTTTTCTACGTGAAAAAATTAGTATCAAGTTAGTGGCTTTTCCAGTCGATTCTTAAAGCCAGTTTTCCACATCAGTCATACCGAAACGTAGCGTATTTCTTTGTTTCCTGAGCGGGTATATATAGTGTGGAACTAATGACTTCGACACAAAAGAAAATGCTACGCCGGTACGTTACGATACAGTTGAAGTGGAAAACAGCTTTAGGTCTGTTTTATACGTCGAATTTCGGTCGCGTCGAATGCAATTTAAACAATAGATGATGAAGCTTAATGAGGTTTATCATCTCATTATCTATTGTTTGATTTGCATTCGACACGACCAAAATTCGACGTATAAAACAGGCCTTAACTGCTTAAGGCTAGTTTCCACTCAGGAAAATTATCCGTGGATTGGAACGGACAAGAAAATTTTTCTTTGTCTTGTGAGCTCTGGGTTGGAACTAATGACTTTAACACAAAGAAAAATTTTCTTGTCCATTCCAATCCACGGATAATTCCCCGGAGTGGAAACTAGCCTTTAGTCTAGCTTGCTTCCTTTCCTTGTCTGCACTCATGCATCTCTCAATATAATATCGCAAACTGTGGTGTCTTTGGTCGAAACAAACGGAGAGATATCGATCTTTTTATTTAATTTTAAAGTACTTTCCACTAAAATCATCACAACTTCTCTGCAGTAATATAATAATTTTAGACCTTCTCTTCCATATTTTTCTGTTCTTTAGCAATCTCTAAACAACAGCCGGCCGCCATAAAGAGAGAGGACTTCTGTTTCAACAAACTTGTCTTATCCTGAGGACACAACTTGGCAAACTGAAAAAGAAAATATTGGAATGAAGAAATAAAATTATAGAAAACATGAAGTTTGGAGACGATGGAAGTTTGACAAGAATGAAGAAGGTATTTATCGATTTATATACTTACTTTGTCTGTAAGTACAAACAGTTCATGCATTTCTTGATGTAAGCCTTTGCTCTCCAGCGCTAAGTTCCAAGCTGTGTAAAGAAAATGCGTACAACCCTCTTAGTAGCCATTGCTTTAGAATGGACCTATTACCTAATAAACAAAATTTTGGTCTAGACAAGTCTAGACAAAAATTTCATCACAGCTTGAAAGAGCATCACAAAATTAGTAACATTCCGAAGTTTCGTTGCGAAATGTTGTAAAATGCGGATAATATAGTCTTGCGAAGTTTGCCGTTTTTCAGTTATTTTGTATTACGCACAGGAAATTGATACCTTTTTTCAGAAAGCGGTATCAATTTCCCGTGCGTAATACAAAATGACTGCAAACTTCGCAGGGCTATATTATCCGCATTTCACAACATTTCGCAACGAAACTTCGGAATATTACTACTTTTGTGAAGCTCTTTCAAGCTGTGGTGAAATTATTGTGTATAGACTTGTCTAGATCAAAATTTTGTTTATTAGGTAATAGGTCCATCACTGGTTGCAAAAATATAAAACTGTTACCAATTTTCATGAACCAAATGCATTCTGCAGCATGTTCTCCATACGATGATTTGTTGACTTGGGCTAACTTGTCGAGAGCTGTTTTCAAGTAAAACAACGTCGTGTTGACATCATTTCTGAAACAAATAGTGTGATATTTATTTTTCATCTTGTATTCTCATGAAGTGGCATCAATCTGTTACACTTTACCTTTTCTCTTTTTCTGTGAGGAAGCTCATTTTCAAGCGAATGAGGCATCTATATAAATATAATGACGACGAAATCATTTAATTGATGCAATACACCCGTCAGAAAAGCACGTCACTTTGGCTATACAGGGTGTATCAAAAAAAGCGCAATCCTCGACTGAAATGTAAATTGCTAAACAAATAATAGACGAAAACGTTAAAGTTTACATTCATTTTAAAGCGTAGCCATTCAGCTTTCTAACAGTGGGTTGTTTCTTAAATTTGACTCATTGGTTCGCGGGTAATAATACTTTGCGTTATTGCGATTGGAGATTAAAAAAATTGAGATGGAATAACAAATCGTTCTCATGAAAATAACTGATTTTTTCATTAAAACAAAAAAATGTTGCATTTTATTAAATGGATTGTAACAATAAATATAATTACAGCTTTTCTTCCACTATTTTTAACTCAGTTTGAAACTTCAAATGCGATATAATTTTGGCTTGGACCATCTAAGCTGACTGACATCAACTTGCTATAATTTCTGTTTACATTACATTACATCGCAATTCGATGACACTCTGGCTCAGACACCGGAATGGTTTGACGATTTTTAGCATTCGTTTAGGATTTTCAAACATCCTGGTATCTTTAAAATACTTTTAATTTGTTCTTACGTGGTTTTCCAGATGTAGTGACGACAACATTAAAGTTTAACGAAGAAAATTCTAACATTTAAACCGACTAAACAATAACATAGTAAACTTGCATAATGAAACAGCAACTAAAAATGATAGGTTTTACTAAATCTTTTCCTGTGCAATTATTACTAGCATTGGAGACAAGGATAATAGTTTGTTTGAAAGAGAAAAGAACAGGCTTTGAAGTAAGCCAAAAGCGTTTAACTAGAAATAGTATTTCGAAAGTTATTAAGCACAAAAGATGAATTGCGTTTATTTTGATACACCCTGTAGAGCTTCGTTTTCGTGTATGTGGCGTTATTTAAACATCTCATCATACTTCCAAGAAGAGTATATTAATTAGAAACAACCAGGGGAGAAACTTCGGTGTTACGACTGGGGGTGTGAGCTCGTTTTGCCCGACCAAAAGGGCGTGGCCAAAGTCGTTCCCGACGGATGAACAGGGGGTAAAAAATTTTCCTGACATGGGTTGTATGGCGCTGCTATTGTGTTGCTGCTGTGGTGTAGTAGGCGTGGTAGTACGGGAAGAGCATTTTTCACTAACTTTCGAAATAATTTATGTAAAATATTTCGAAATAATGTAAAATTGATTTGGTAATATTTTCGTAAATTTATCAAAATCTTTCCCTTTCAATCTGAGACACTCAAATATTTTCAAAATTTGTCCGACGAAATTGTATGGATATACCCGATATAGAGACTGGGGAGTGTCCACACACACACACACACACCCTGGTAGTTTCGCCCCTGGAAACAACTAAGCATTTCTTACATAACCTCCTGGCGGAGGATGAGAGTTTACTCTACCTTATTGCCGTGATCACTTGCTTGTTGTCGGGGGAATGTTTAATAATGCTTTCTAAAGCCGGAATTGCAACTTCTTGATTGTTGTTCTAAAATATAGCACAAAATCACAGTTTAATGTCTTTGGTACATTTGGTGTATGTTTACGAGAAATATCCAGGACGTACCTCGAGAGCCAATTGTGCAGCCAAGCAAATGATATCGTGGATAGTAAGACCTTCTGTGTTCTGTAATTTATCATGATTTTCACTCATTTTGTTCATAGCTGTGATGGCTAAAAACAAAATAAAAATTACTACAAATGATCACTGCAGTTATCGTCATTATGCCCGGATTTTGAGGGGAGGTGTGGGTAGGTGCGCTCCTCCCCTGAGATCGTGTTGTACCTCCCCTGAGAATTCTTGCACCTCCCCTCAAACGTCATGCACCTCCCCTTGGGGAAGTTTCAATGATAGATCAAAGTGAAAATTTGACATTTTTGGTTGCTTAGGATCTACACTTCGTAAGAAAGTTTTTCTATAAAATTGAAACAGTCATAGCCATTCATCCTGTGTCAAGTACCCTTGTAATGCAATGTTTTGAAATGTCTTGTAGTAATTGTAATGAAAGGCAAGATTGGATGAGTTGTACAGTCATAATTCATTAATAAACTGATACATATGTACACTACATGCATATGTCAGGTCGTTGACTTTGGCCAGTTCTCCCTAACTTTTCATGGGGGTTGTGAGCTAGACAGCTGCACCTCCCCTAAATTTTTTCCACCTCCCCCACTATTTCCACCAAAATCCAGCCTTGATCATCATCGTCCTTCGACCGCATCTTTTGAACCCTGTCCTGCACTGCTCTTCCCAGATCCCTAATATCTAACGCAGTTATAAGTGGATGATTCTCTCGAATCCAAAACTTATGTGACAAAGTTTACCTTTGCTGTTGTTCTTTTCGGAAAGAGCAAGTTTGAAATCGAAATAGGAGTTCAATGGATTTCCATGGTCACTGCTTTCTGCTTCTGTAATTGATTGTCTTGCCTTTAATTGGGATAAGATTATGTATTATTTATACATCTTTATAAGATGCTTTTTATTTAACTTATTTAGAACATAGTTACAATGATATTTTGATTTAAACCTTTTCCATATCTTTCAAGGCTATATGACAGGAGCAAATGTTGCGCTAGAGATTTTAAGAGAACTCTGTTAGTTTTGTAGTTCATTTTTCTCGCCTCTTTATACCGACAAGTTTAAAGTACAAGATCTCGAATTAGCATTTGTAACACTTTAATAATATCACATACATGAAGTTTGCCAGCATTGATACTCTGTCTTTCTCCAGGAGAGAACAAACTTAGAGAGTAATTGTACCATTCCAGTGCTTCACTGTGCTTGTTCTCCTGCAAGAAAAGGCGTATTCTTATTCTTGCCTTACAAAAACATTGGATCTTGAAAATTTATCAAGAGCTGTTAAACTCGATAGAATTGATAAAGCTTGCAGTTTGCTGAATCTGTAGATTGAAATTCGACTTTGAAGTCAACTTTATGTTGAACTTAAAATATTTGCATGAGTTTTACTCTACGAATATATCTATTAAAGGCGTGTAATTTACACTGATCAATGCAAAGAGCATAGAAGACTAAAGTTCTACTCTCCTAAAACTGGAGTGGTTTACCTCGCATTTTGAGGCAGCTTTGTCCCAAATAATGTTATGAAATTTCTTCTTAGTTTCTGGGTCTAATGGACGACCTGTATTATGTCCTAAAACAACCAAAGCATTGTTATTCTTTAAAATCTCTGATCTTCAATAATCAAAGGATCATGAGGGGAAGAAATTAAACCTTCAATGCAATGTTCCACAAGATTCTTTGCTTCTTCTTCTTGATTGTGCTGAACCAAGAGTTCCTGAAATACAGAGCAAAAGTTTCAATAGAGGAAATATAAACTTTGAATGAGAAAATGTAAAAAGAGAAAAAAAGGATATTAATGAAAGTAAAGTGGAAAGTATTCATATGAGGACTAGCTACTTGGTGTTAGAAATGTAATAAAACAGTGTATAGTTATTGATAATCATAATCAATCTAAACAGTCCCAGACATACCAGATGTTGAAGTTGGATCTTTGATAAATCTGGGGTATTTTGAAATGCATTTGCTAACTGCTTCAAGCCTTCAAATGCCAACTGAGTTCTATGAATGCCAAATAATAATGTTTGATTGTATACTGTACAGTTCACGTACACAAATTAGTCAGATTAAGTTTAAAGTGAACCTACTTTTTGTATTCAATTGCTAATTCCACAATACTAAGACCCATATCAACCGTTAGTTCTTGATGACGTAGGGATTCTAGAAAAGCTATTGTTAAAAGAAAATAATTATGTGCTGGATTCTTCAAACCAACAATTGTATATTTTTAATATTTAATATAACAGATAAACCACTGACCGAATTGTAGCTCTTTTGATGACGTTTCACGAAGAAGTAAAATTTTTGCTTTGAGGTAGAGTCCAGCAGGATGTAAATGCTCCTAAAGTAGTTTAAGTGGCGGTGTTTAATACGTATGGATAGTATTTTAAACACACAGGATTTCTCTAGTCAATATACTTACAGTGTTTGCCAACCCTGAAAAATATTGAAGGGAATTAGATGTAATATCAAACGAGCAAAATGTCAAACGGATAGAAGAAGATAACGTTTTGTCTATTGGTGATTGTAATGATGGTGATGGTGGTGATGATATTGATGATGGTATTGATGATGGTGGTTGCTATTGATGATAATGGCTGAGATTATAATGACGATGGTGATAGTGGTATGATGATGGTAATGATCAAATGGTGATGTAAATTATGATGTTGCTGGACAACCAAATTAATCTTGACTTTACCAACAGCATTCAATGCTGTATCCCAGTGTTTTGTATGATCCCACTCCAGATAAGCATTTGCCAGTAGCCGCAATGTTGTTGCCTGTAAGCAGAAGAAGTTAGAAGAATGAGAAATAATATTGTTGAATGTTTTGGTTAAAACTTGAAACGCAAGAACTCCCTTTACAAATGGCAAAACTCCCTTTTCAAATGCCAGAACTCCCTTTTCAAATGCCAGAACTCCCTTTTCAAATGGCAGAACACCCTTTTCAAATGGCAGAACTCCCTTTTCAAATGGCAGAACTCCCTTTTAAAATGGCAAAACTCCCTTTTCAAATGGCAGAACTCCCTTTTCAAATGGCAAAACTCCCCTTTCAAATGGCAGAACTCCCTTTACAAATTGCAGAACTCCCTTTTCAAATGGCAAAACTTGGTTTTCAAATGGCAGAACTACGTTTTCAAATGGTAAAACTCCCTTTTCAAATGGCAGAACTCCCTTTACAAATTGCAGAACTCCCTTTTCAAATGGCAAAACTTGGTTTTCAAATGGCAGAACTCCGTTTTCAAATGGTAAAACTCCCTTTTCAAATGGCAGAACTCCCTTTTCAAATGGCAGAACTTGGTTTTCAAATGGCAGAACTTGGTTTTCAAACGCCAGGATTCCGTTTTCAAAGTCGTTTAGAGACGACTTTCCAAACCTGTTTTTCTGAGTCAAGAGGGTACTCTCCTTTTCCAAGCTCATAGCTCTCTCTAAGAACATAAATAAGGATTATCACAGAAGTTGGGCTCGATCCTCTGGTTGGGAATGGGACATTCAGCCATGAATTTGACTCCATTTAAAACCAACAGTTACCAGCTTTACACTGCTGAAGCAATGCTAACTTTCGTAGGCCTTACTCAAGCATGCAACTATATTTGTGCTCTCTCTTTACCTTAACCATTCAACACATTCCTCATAATGTTGTCTCTGAAAGGTATCAACTCCAAAATTATAACAAACCATCGCAAGACAACAGCTCTAACAAAAACAAGGAGGAATGTTGTAGTGAAATAATTACGATAACGAAAACATTTTGCGTATTTTGTTAGATATTAATCTAAACTACAACTATAACATTGAAACGTCACCTCTTTTGGATGTCTGCCCAACAAACTCTTGGCTTTATTGATGTATTGCTTGGCTTTCTCGTACTTGGAATTCGCCGTTGCCTAAATTTTTAAATAAGATATTAAACCCTGAAGGCGGTTGGATAATAAACACTGAAGCAACACAGAAAAATGTCTGTTTTGTGGATGTTTTTATGAAAGAATATGGATTGTGTGGAGACATTGGAAATTGTCTGTAATATGGAAAGGGGTCCGTATTAGAAGCTGTTCATATTAGAAAAAGATGTTTATATTAGAGGGGGTTCGTATTAGAGAGGGGTCTGTATTAGAGAGCTGTCCGTATTAGAAGCTGTTCATATTAGAAAAAGATGTTTATATTAGAGGGGGTTCGTATTAGAGAGGGGTCTGTATTAGAGAGCTGTCCGTATTAGAAGCTGTTCATGTTAGAAAAAGGTGTCTATATTAGAGAGTTTTCGTATTAGAGGGGGTTCGTATTAGAGAGGGGTCCGTGTTAGAGAGGGGTCCGTATTAGAGAGGGGTCCGTATTAGAGAGGGGTCCGTATTAGAGAGGGGTCCGTATTAGAAGCTGTTCATGTTAGAAAAAGGTGTCTTTATTAGAGAGTTTTCATATTACAGAGGGGTCCGTATTATTGAGGTTGCTATATTAAAGAGCTGTTCGTATCAGAGAGGTGTACATATTAGAGAGGGGTCCATATTAGAGAGGGGTCCATATTAGAGAGGGGTCCATATTAGAGAGGGGTCTATATTAGAGAGGGGTCCATATTAGGGTGATGTCCGTATTGGAGAGGTGATCCACTAGATATGCATTTTCTTACCACTTCTGCTTGATAGCAATATGTTCTGAAAATGTGTTTTTCACATTCCTCAATGATAAAGAGTTTCTCCTGGCTAGATTGTTTTGTACTCAACTTCCGACTCAGATTTTCCCAACACTACAATTAAGGATCAAGTATTAGTGTATGAAGTGAATGAGATATAGAATATGAAAGACGAAATGGAGCTTGCATTTTTGTCTTACTTCTTCAGCCAATTCAAGTGAAGTTTCAGCCATAGCAGGATTATCACAATCTTTCAAAAATAAAGTATTTTGTTTAAACAACGAAAGTACTTGAATTTTATTGAATAACTTTTGTATTTGAAAGATAAAGTTTTTAAAAATGAGATACTTGCCCAGCCACGCTCTCCCTGTCTTTGTAGCCATCTAGGAGTAAAATACAGGAATAATATTTAACTCTTTTTTTTCTGTGTTGGTGTTGTGTACTCAGGTGAATAATATGTTTTGTGATGTTACTCTGAGTGCATATCCACACCGGGCGAGCTTGAAAAATATGCCCGGCCACGGTGGGATTCGAACCTACGACCTTTGAAATACTAGCCCAATGCTCTTCCAACTGAGCTACGCGGTCAGGACGGTTCGAGTAAGTGATATTTCGGAACAGTATCTAGTTCCTTCAATACCAATGTGTTCTTGTAATATGAATTTTTTTCTGTGTTGGTGTTGTGTACTCAGGTGAATAATATGTTTTGTGATGTTACTCTGAGTGCATATCCACATATTCCAAAGGTCGTAGGTTAGTATTACTCTGAGTGCATATCCACATATTCCAAAGGTCGTAGGCTAGTATTCCAAAGGTCGTAGGTTCGAATCCCACCGTGGCCGGGCATATTTTTCAAGCTCGCCCGGTGTGGATATGCACTCAAAGTAACATCACAAAACATAATATTTAACTCATTGAGTCCCAGCGCTCTCCCCTTGACTAGTGAAATCGTCTGGGGCCGGTTGTTCAAAGGTGGGTTAGCGGTTAGCGCTAACCCTGGGTTAAAATTTAACCTGCTGTTTTAGTTTGTGTATTTCTGCACGTCTGTTTATTTCAATACTTCAGAGAAGTAAACTCCTATCGATCCAGACAAGATATCTGAAGAAATATTTCCAAATTTATAGACCAGCTGTCAGGAAGTTTACTTTGAATTTTAAGTTAACCTAGGGTTAAGCTAACCCAGCTTTGAACAACCGGCGTTTAAGACGGAGTAAAAGAATAAAGTAGGCCTCATTAACATTGCCATTCAGGGGCGCAATGCAAGTTAATGGGGGTTAGATAGTCTGATTAATAAAGTTTGATGCTTATTGCAGCAAATACATGCTTATTACTGTTATATACACATTTAAGGTACTTACAACCAGTTGTTTCTTATGACTTGCTTCAGTGCATTCTACTGTGTTTGCAATGCTTACTAAATTGCACGAGCCATGTCTCACTGTATTGGAAAAAATAATGTAAGTAATAATAATAAAATGGCTGGAAAGTGGAAGAATAAGTTAAAATTAAGGAACATTAAGGGAAAGCGAACTTCCTTAACAGAGTAACATCGTCTGGGGTTTAGGCAGAGTAAAATAATAAAGTAGGACGCATCTCACATTTTGCATTCAAAGTTAGATTTCCAGATCCCTCGGTCTTCATCCCGACTGCCAGGTTCCACAAAGTGACAGCACATGTATGGATTTGTATCAATGCTGAACAATGTTCATCTTTATTGAACGAAATTTTCTGTAGTTCTTCAACAATCGACCAAATATTGTCCAAATCTGCATCAGACTCCACTTTACTCTGGCTTAGGTTTTTTGTCAAAACTGAAATACATGGACTTTGAAATTATTTTGGTGCATGGTTGAATTATTTTGGATGGTGGTAAACATTTATATAGGAATCAGTTGTTGACACTTTGCATCGAAGCAAGAAAATTTTGTATCTCTATTTCATTTATTGGCCATCAAAATACAAAAGTACTATAGCTATATAAAATCACTTGTATTCTATTAAGGTTGAAACAACAGGGACATTAATAACCTCATACAACTTTTTATATTCGTGTCTTATTTATAAGTTTTTACCAACCTTTTAGCCTTGAAATTAGTGTATTTAGGTGCGAGTCTTTTTCCATGTTAGAAAGTGGACTTGCTTGTTTTTTGCATCCTCAGAAGTTTACCCGAACAGTTAAATTTCTTTAAATTTTCACTGTTTGCTTATGTTTTTCCGTTTTTGGTTCTATAGAACCGTCCCTGTAACAACAGCAAATAGTTATAGACTCGAAAAATAAACAAAAAACAAATTAACAATAAATTTTGCTTACTTTTATTCAACTTTTCTGCAAACTTTTATATGTTTTTCAGTTTTTTCTGTTTTTCCACTTTTGGCGGGAAAATGTTTGACTAATTATTCTAATTTATGCGGGAATGAGTAAAAGTTTGATTTTTCTGTTTTTGAAATTTTAAGGTTGTCGAAAGTCTCGAAATTGTGTTTTTCCCACTAAACAACGAGAAAAACTATTTCAAAAGAATGAACTAGCCTCTGAAAGTCATTTGTGTGAGTTTAGAAGGTAATTCGAAAGAGAAATCTTGTTTGGAATATTTTTCCTTCCATATTTTTTGCAGAACGCCATGTTGTTTTAATTTTTTAGGTAAAGTTATGGATATATTGGATGCTGTGGCTCATTTATACGAACGTGAGCAGCTTAATGATGACAGAGAACCGCCAATACGTCAAACACTGCCAATGGGGTAAGTGTTTTAAAGAATATTCACCTTTTATATAATTTTTTGTTGACTTTTATTTTTGAAACGAAGTATAAATGTCACGGATGTATTGTCACCTGGACTGAATAAATTACTGCACATTTTAATAAATAATTTTAACAAAAATTTCTGTAAATATGTATATTTGAAAGAAATATTGGTAAAAACTTGTAATATGGCTGAGTTCTCCTGATAATTTATGATTTATAAAAGTAAGTAAGAGTATTATTGGCCTATTATTGGTGGAGTCAACTTTGACCCCAATCTGTGGAATGATTTGATAGGAATGGTCCCATGAAGCAAATCATACTAGATACAATGGCTTATTGCTTTGTTAGGTACAGAGAAAAGAGTGATTTTTGTGAACAAGACGAATGTCGTACAAGTGGTCGCCATAACAGTTTCGACAGATATAGATGTGAACGAGATACAAGCCAGCCTTGTGATGAGTGTAATAATGCCGCAGTTGATGTAACTGCCCTTGTTGAGCATTTTAGTAAGTGTAGTTTAGACCATAAATATCTCATATATCTATGGGGTGACCCCTCCCTGAGAGAATGAGCTCCCATTAAGTCTCCAGCACTCTCCTGACAAGCAGTGCATATTTTAAAAGTTTTACAGTGGTGGGATGGGGAGTGATATAAATCCCCAGAGTAGGATTTATATCACTCCAGCTAAGGTTAGGGCCCAGTCTGAGCCACAAACTAGTGGGGGCTGGGATCCCCCCCCCCGTATATATTGTATATATTTTGAAATATGCCTTGCTAACAAATACTTACAGCCTTTGCCCAAAACTTATTGTTACTATTATAAACATTGAACTACATTTGTTGTTATGTTGTTATGTCGTTTTGTTTGCAACTGCACAGTTACTAATTTGTTTATTGGTTTTAATTTGTATTCACGAACCCCTATCAAACCAGGCGGACCGTCAGGCCAGCAATCTGGAGGGTTCAAATTTGAAAACCTGTGTGGAACTCTGGACTATTTTTCCTGAGTTGCAGTACCTTAATGTATAGGCAGAAAAAGTAAAGGAAAAAACTATCTTCTCCAGATGGTGTTTTTCGTCAAAGAATAAACACAGAAATTGAAAACTTTCGCGTCAGTGTTAATGAGATTGTTGATGATCAACAGATGAACTTCCGATCAATGTTTGGCTTGGAACAAGATGTCGATCCTGCTCAGGAGGTACTTGGTTGAACTGTAATGAACTCTTCGCTAGATTCTTCCATCTTTACCTAAACCACAGAATAGAGAATATACAGAAAGTTGGCTCAGCCACAAAAGCTTAACCGCTGCTCAGTTGCCATGTTCCTATAGCCAAGTCTGCTTATCAGAGGCATATACCTACTTGAGATAAGAAACTCTTCTTCGGAAGCATCATTCAAAATAAGAACATATCAATACTTTTTAGAAACAATTTAAATGTATAGTCATATGTAATCTATTGTATATACCATATATTTTTTTTTCCACGTAACCTAATATATCAGGGCCGTTATAAGGAAGATTGATAATGGGGGGGGGGGGCTCATATTCATATATTCGTGTTCTGCATTACTCACTTCTTTTGAAATCGATTGTTTTTACGGTCTGTAAACATGAATATATGAGTATGACCCCAATTATCGATCTTCCTATGGCCCTGTATATTTGTTTGTTTGTTAATAGTCGTAGGGTGAGGCAGCACTTTCCTTGCGATAGTAACTTCTAGTATATTTGTTTGTTTGTTAATACTCGTAGTTATATAGAAGGCCCAGTGTAAGATTAGCTATGCTAAACTGGTTTTGCAATACTTTCTTTAAATAAATTTTATTATACCCCCTAAACCTCCACCATTTTGAATAGTTTCAGGGGGTGAGTATCTCTCATAAGCGCACTGGCTAGGTTAACGCCCAAACTCTCCTATCCCTAACTCTTTGCTAAACTCTTGTATCTTCCGTCTTTTTTCAAGGTTCCAATGCACATGTACTCTAGATCATCCAGTGCTGATAACATAACATCAGGTATGCTTTAATGGAAGCTTGATCAGGGTGTGATAATTCATGACAGGTACTCCAATGATTTCCAAAGTACGTGATTTATCGCACCTTGAACTGATAGTGGATAAAAAAGACAGTCAAATGATGTTAAACTGTAACACAAAAAGTACTGTTTTGGTGTTTCAGATTATCAAGTTGTTGTTGATAATGGAAAACAAAATGAACAGATGTCTGTGTAAGTTTAATTCCAAATCATTTTATAGCAGTTTGCGAGGCATTTGTGTATCTTGTTTTTTTCTAACCTTTTAACATTTTATAGGACCGAGTCTCCTGCATCAACGTTCAATAGTTACGGTGCTTCAGAAAGTGAACAAGGGTAAGTGCTTACAAAAATACTGATAGTCCGCTAACAGGGTCGTAGATTCAACCTGGATTCAACCGGGACTGCTTCCCGGGCACTGAAATTTTTTTCGAGGTTTTGCCGTTTGCGTCGATAGCTATTAGGGATTTTAAGCTTCTCGGCAAAACTTTCGTTGAACGTGTTCGTTTCATATTTTCTTTCTTGCGTCGAAAGAATAATTATGTATTTCAGTTTTAAAACGGCAAGTTCATTTACTTTTTTATATTGCCTGATACCGTAAAAATTTTCATTGCCTGGCGTTTGCCGTTTGACATATAACGCGGAGCTTAAACGCTCTCATTGTTATAGCTAGAGAATAGAGTTAATGTTCACTTTAAATAGTCAGGGTTATTGCGTGGAGTTATTATTATCAAGCTAAGTTTCTTGGGGGTTATAAGAGTAATATTACGGATATAATATCCTTGCACTGCTTAAAACTCGCCACAAAATGGAGGAAATAGCGTTTCAGAGCCCAAAATGTTAATCAGGGCTAAACGCAGCATTTGCTACTTTTGTGCTTTCCGTGAGGAAAAACAAAGGAATGCAATGAAGAATGCGTAATTCACTGGAAATGTTTTCAAAATTCTTACTATGGAAATAGCATGGATCTTTAGTTGAAAATTGTAGGGAAATCCAATTCATATGGAAATCCATTCAGTGATTGCAATTTTCACACTAGGCCAAAAAAAAAAATATGTGGGTTTCCGGTTTCCCGACCCTACCTAGCTTTTCGACGTCGAAATCCCGACCCTAAACTTTTTTATTGGATCATGCTTGTAAGTGTTTCCACTTAGAGGAAAAAGTTTGTGGAAAATTGAAGTTTGAGGCAATATTAGGGAAATTTATCTTTGGATGTGGAAGCACTAAACAAAATGGCGTCTGCTTATTCGGAAAATTAAAAAAAAAGTTTAAAAAAAAGTTAAAACCGACCTACCCTCCCTAAATTTTTATAAGAAGAAACCGGAAACCCACATATTTTTTTTGGCCCTATGGATATAGTGTGGAATTAGTATGGATATATACTATGGATTTATATACCAGTTTTCCACTTCAAGCGTACCGTACCGAAACGTACTGGTGAGCATGCGCAGATTGAAAAGAGGTTTATAAATCCACGTACTTCCGGGTATATTCGCGTATCAAAATGAAAAGTTCGCAAATCGCAAATTCCATGGTATGAACTTCATTGAAGCTCCAGAGAAAGATTAGCTATAGCTAAACTGACGTATTTTTGTGAATACTTAAAATCTTCTCTTAATTAATTAATCTTCTTCAAATAAACTTTATTATTATTTACTATAAGCTTTGACGTAAGAGGGCAGGCTGCTGCTTGGACTGCGGGGTAACAAAATGCAATTAATTTTTTTCTGCTTTGTCTTCGCAAACCTCAGTGACGTTTTGTTTAATTGCTTTCGCTAGTGAAAACAGGTACCAGGCTTTATCTATGCAAAACACTCTTCAAAGTAAAGTTAGACTTTGCATTTGTTTTGGTTTTGCGAAAAACATCACGTTTATTTAAACAAATATTATATTATCGCCATATGCGTTCGCACACAAAGAACTTCTTATAATGCATTTTTAAACACTACATAATACATAGTATATAGCCCTAAAATGGTAATGAAAAAATAAAAACTGGCAATGCAGTGTAATACTAATCATGATATTGAAATTTTATACAAATTCTTGTCATTTTAGCTTAGGTAGCCATGGCATTTACCGCCCCCTGCTTTTCGATAAGTGTAATGTCTTCAATAAAAACAACACATATGAACATCACTCTTCCTACATTATCAGTAAACTAGACACAAATGTCTCTCCCACGCAGCCGTAGGACCACCCAAATAAAATCCATGTTCAGTATCTTTTGTCATATTTCATGATTAACATCGAGTTTATGGCTAAATTTAGAGGCGCGAAAGATGTCAGGAATGAGTGATTGGTATTAAATAGCTTGTGAATTGTGAGGATAAGATTTTCACTGATATATTCGCATTGTCGTTGATATCAATGCCAAGATTTTGAGTTATTTGATGTTATCCAAGCTATAAACAAATATTTTGAATTATCTTGAATGTTGGGTTAGAATCCAGTGTTGCCAACATTGAACAGTATTTATAGAAGTAATTGGTTAAAAGGATCTATTATAACAACCAGAAAATACTGAAAAAATTAACTTGAAGTCTAAATTACATGCCCTGGACTGAATAATATTTGCCAAGCTAGAATATGTTTACTGTTGCAAGCAAGTTGTGGTGGGTGACTAACTATTTTGCATATAAAATCTGATACATCATTGCGCCAAGGCCAGACTTGCACATTATGGCTGTCATAAGTTGCCTTGGGAACAAGGTATTATATTATTATTCCATGCATGATCGCCACTGCTGGACGTGACTGCAAAGCTCATAAATATTCGTGCTGCATACGCCTACGTGCACGAGTGTTGAACAAGTCAATATTTCGTCCAAACAAACAGAAGATCATCACAGCGTAGGCCGTTGCTTACTTGCTTCATTCATTTCCCTACATGATCATCATGCCGTTTTTTATGGCAAATTAACATATTAGCCGCGTTTAATTTGGTATGTTCTAAGTATTTTTCAGTATATATTTCACATTTTTTACATTGTGCCAAATTGTTGAGAATTCAGAATTGCGTATTATTCAGGACCATTCAGCAATCTGACTCACTATATCATCTTCTATTTCGTGTTCAAGCATGTTAACCGGATGGTTACCGAACTGTCAATCATTCTCGAGCTATTATGTTTTGTTACTGAAAGGGGAAGCCACTGACGAAATGAATGCGAATCCGCCGAAAATCGAGTGTTTTAACTCAATTTTCCGATTAACATTAATTTTGTTATTACTGAAAAAAAAATCAGTTGGCAAAGGTTTCTGTGTCTGCCCTCTTCACCTTCACTGTTCACTCAGACACTTGAAGTAACTTGACCGCATGTATTATCTATACTTCAGAGATATATATATAGAGTTGTTCTCGAAACTGCTGGACTATATAAACAGTCGCATTCAGTTCGTGGTGGTTACGTATTTTTCTCATACAATACCAGATTAAAAGTCAAGTTGTTACTTCTCCTCGTGGTTTTGTGACACTTCCTTTTCACAATCGTAATGATGCCGGCAGCTAATCATCGTTATTCCTCCTAGTCAGGCTCCCTGCAAACTTTGGGTTTTGGGCGCGAGATATCTCCGCACAGGAAAGGGTGTGCAAAGGAGAATTTTTAAAATTCTGTATTGTAATATTTCAAATCTTTTCTCCCAGCTTTGGGGGTTTTTCTTACCGTGCTGCAAAGTATGCTTAGTCATACGTTTACACGTCATACTTGACAGTATAGGTGGTGACAGCATAGACAATCCAGAAGATAGACAATCTTCTGGATTGTCTATGGTGATAGTTACCACTTGTTTACAATGAAAACTTTACAAAAATCAACATAGCTTTTTTTTTTATCATGCAGTATAACAATGACCTAATCGTTCTATAATCTTATATTAGGGCGCTTTTCATTAACACGGCCAGAACGGTCAAGTTGGTGAATGAAACACAAAACGTTTGGGCTTTGGACCTATCTGACCTGAAAATTTAGATAAAATTAGAATGAGGTCCATTTTCGCTAGATATTGTAGAAACATCGATCAGATATTTCCATTGATACCATAGATATCTTATATACACATATAAGATATCTATGATTGATACAGAGACAAAAATTCGGATCTGACCGTCAGGCCATTAAATGGAAAGCGCGTTAAGCGCCCTTACAATACAATACAACACTTTAATTAATTCTCCTCGAAAGGTTTTTCAGAATTAATTTACAACTTTAGTACTAAATTTACATTCTAAATTCTAAGAATCTATATGATCCTGCATAGTTATGATAAAATGTTAAAAATTGTCATATAAATTAGGATGGAAATTGTATGGACCTTTATTGGAAATAGAATGGATTTTGATTATCCTTAATAATTGTATATTTCCATACTATGGTTATAGTATCGAAATAGTATGGATATACTATGCATTTAGTGGTGCAATTGCAAATGTCATAGTATGGATTAACATTTCACATTTTCCCCAGACCCAGTGTATGCTACTAGTTCTCACCTGTTCAATTCTATGAACAATTTATCAGAACAGTGGTAAACCAGCAAATGAACTATCAGAAAATGTAACTGCTTTCCTTTACACTGTCAACGTAAGGATTTTGTAGAGGCAGTAAAATTGTAAATTTTGAAGGATTTGTAAGAAATGTTTGAAGGAACTGACTCGTTAGAATTTACCTAATGACTATGCAAAATTCCTACTGTGATCAAAGTCTTTAGTGTAGATCTACTTGCGTATTATTAAATTAAACACGCGCATATGCGATTGTTTAACTCTCAGTCTGTTGGCAAATATTCATAAATCGCGTCTCCCACAGATGGTTGACGCGCGCGCTTATACGGAAATGCGGTTGTACTCCAAGTGATCCACGAATCACATTAACTCCCACGCATCGAAATGTGCGCTAAATGGATTTATACATCCTGCACAGTAGGTCGTATCTCTAGAATTATGCAAGGCGTGAGATTGTTTATGTGGTTGCCATAGGAACGACAGTGTCAATATTTATCTTATTTAGTAAGCCGCAAAACTGTTCCCTCAGCAAAGAACTCAAGTTTTTTTCGAATTATATGACGGCATGACAACGCGTATGAAACATGATCTACTATTTTCGTAAAACTTGAAATGAAACCTCCGGAGAAATAATTTCTGTTTGGTACCTTCTCAGACGTGGAAAATGTGTTATATAATCCTCGGATCCTGAATTTGCCTTTTTGAAGTGTTCTTCAAAAGTGCATAAAAAAATTCGACCGTACATTATTATGCCATTATGTATGCAAGAACAACAAAACGTCGTAGTTCTGTTTGTATTTTTCGGGTAGTTGTATGTCCTAGAAACTACTTTCGTTAGAGGACTATACAAGTAAACTACAAATTAAACCAAAAATCGAAGAATCATCTCCATACGTTCACGGAATATTTTATTGCATCAAAGCATATTCTACTGTCGTCAATCCTTCCAAGCAAATCGTGCCTAGAACAAAATATGGCGTAAGGCCGAAAAAAAAGTTATTAATTCTGTTTCTGCGTCATCTTTGACCATGCGTGTTTTTTTTTCGTAATGACGCGTCATCTTTGACCATGCGTGTTTTTTTTTCGTAATGACGGACATTATGAGATCAGTGGTAATGCTCTCTTCGTAGCTGGCAACCCACAGTGATGTAATTAGATAATCGTCAAATTTTTTTACCGGTGCTTTAGAGGGTCTTGACCAAAAAAGGAAGTCCTCGTATTACGGTACTTGGCGTTATTAATCACTGTCATTAGGCTAGGAGGTATGCCGGCCTTATTTGGAAATCTCAAATTAAGAGCTCTTTAATAAGATAGAACATCGGCATAGATGAAGGGCCTTTTCTTTTTTCGTTGGAAAAGTAGCGAACAGGTACCGTTTGATCCTAACTCGAACGGTGTGTGCCACAATAGCACCAGTAAGCTGTGCACTGAGAGGGATTTAACTGCTTGTAAAACATAAGGAAAACGTCGACGTTTCGAGCCCTTCATTGGGAAGTTAGTAGATGTTCCTTATAATATAACAGAAAACCCAGCCCTTCCTAATTAGCTATATATATAAACTGTCTACTATTTTCGTGATAAACAGCCTTTGAACTCTTTGACAGTTTTGACAGTCTATAAATACAGCACATGATTCTGTTGTTCGGTAACTAAGCTAGTATATAACCGCAGTGTTAATCAGTTTTGGATGCTGATAATCACTGGTGAGTTAAGGCCATGTTACACGGTGCAATTTTTCTTGCAACTTGCAATGCAATTCTACTCTTGAGAGATGTAAAATTGCCAATTACGAGTCTTCATTACACTCCGCTGATGTTTTCTCAACATATCGAAAATTCTTCACTGATTTCACTAATTAACATCTCTCAAGAGTAGAATTGCATTGCAAGTTGCAAGAAAAATTGCACCGTGTAACATGGCCTTTAGTTCAGTAAGTATGTGGTAGATGTATGGCCAAGAAATGTCGCCACTTGTACTATATCTCTCAATTCTATTACGTCATGCTTATCACGTGGAAGTTATTTATTTATTTATTAACTTTAAAATCATACAAAATTATAACAATGATTGAAGGTCATGTCCTGACATGAGTCCCATGTGAAGACCAACCTAACACAAAACAACAAGTAGGCATACATTAAAGACAAGGACTAGAACACTATTTACATAACTATATAAAAATTAACAGGTTAGACTGATTATGAGCAACAGCTTAAGTTGAAAGAACGGCATTTTGAGCAGTAGGTTTTCATATCACAAGTTTTATTTGCTCGTCTGTATATGGACACTATATTACTGTGACAAATACTATAGTATGTTCAAAAGCTAGTATGCTAGTTAGTATGTTAGCTTTTGAACAACTGTACTTGGTTATAGAAAAAATTGGCAAAGCACAAATCAGTTGTTCGTCTGTATGGGTCGACAAAGAAAATTTGGCAGAGTAATCTGTTTGGTCTTCATCCCAACCCCTTCTCTAACACTATTGTGCGCGAAACATGAGCGGTGATAACCGAAAATTTGTATTCACAAATAAAACTTGCCATATCATATGAAAGAATTAAATTGTCAAAGAAAACTTGCTCGTCTGTAACTAGCCTGATAACTGCAGCTTGACCACCATCTGTCGCTGGATACGTCGATCAACCCACCAATTGAAAATGCTCATAGACATAGTTATTTTGAAATTCGTAATAACATTTAAGAGAAGAATAAATGTGACAGAGAAATATTCTCTACAGGCTCTATCTTCGTACGAAGTGTTCATGGAAAATGTTAATCGGATTTTGATGATGTCACGAATTTCATGAACCTTGACCGACGCCAACAAACAACATCAACATCAGCAGTTTAATGGAGTGCTAATGGCATTTTATATATACGTCACTTGCAATAACGCACAAGATTTCATTTACGTTATTTGTATACCGCAAAATAATTTTACTTTTTTGAAAAACACATGCTGAGTTTACTGATTAATATATGCTTTGTATATAATTGTATATAATGGTAGATCCATCAGAGCTAAGTCTTAACTATATGTTACACGTATGTCCGGTAAGACATTGACTAATACTGCGAGTTGAATGTTAAGCCGTGGTCACTGACTGAGGATAAGAGTTGATAAGAGTTTGCAGTCATGCTTTGTTACGGGGGACATTTCAAGCTCTAGATTAACAAAATAAAGGTTTGACGAGTGCTGCAACTAAGTTTATACATGATTGTATTGAGAAAACATTAAGAACAGCTAGATTGCGTGACTGCTTTCCTTAAGCTGGATTCCCGTGTACTACTGTCCGTTACTGAGAAAACCGCTAACCGCAAACGGCTTCAATTCGCATTTGAAGGTTTATGTTCAAGTTTTTGACGGCATAGGTTTGATTGATTGAAACTTTATTTACCGAGGATTAAGCGCGGATCAAACAAAGATAAAGTGCGTGAGTGCCAAGTCACGAGATCTTCGCTAGCTGTTCCGCTTACTAGTATAGTTAATGCTCTCCCAACACTATCATGTGATTCTCTTTAAGCTAAAACATAGTCATAGTTGGAACACTCATGAAACTTTTATTTTAGTGTTAATCTAGACATTGAAATCTCCCCTGTAACACTAAATCGTGACTGCATGCCAACTCTCAATCATAAACTATCCTTCGACACTTTCCACAGCAATAGTATGACAACTGATAAACTTGTGGCCCTCGACCATGTCTACCGAAAAGATAAATGCTATATATATATACCTGAATAAAAATATGTTATACTACATATAGAATAAAATAAAATATAATGCAGATACTGCCTAATATCTAAGCGTTATAATTAAAAATGAATAAAAAACATTAGTTGTATGATTGGACAATTGAAGTATATACTTCAATAAGTTACCCACCATAAGACTCCGTAAGTATATACTTCTCCAAAGAACTGCCTCGTTCTTTCAGAACTCCCACTTATTTTTGCTTATGAATGATCTAGTTCATGAGTTAAAAGTGTCTTTAATAAATAAAATAGGGTAATCAAAGAACGAGGCAGTTCTCTAGAGAACTAATTTATGGGGGGTCGTATACTTCAATCGATCTCGAAGTCTCTTCGAGTCGCCTATATAATTCGATATATAATCCTATATTTATGTTGACTTCAAAATCAGACGATTTAAAGATCACGGCCGGTTTGCTGTAAACGTCAATCGTAAGAGCTCTAAACTCTACCCTCCAGGATTTGGTAGTTTAATAACGTACCGGTTGTCAGGAAATACGTTGTAGTGGCATGCGGAATCAAAAACAATAAAGAGCTTGCACGTATGGGTCTGTCCATGCATGTCCAAACCAGGAACCACTCTGTAATTAGTTAGAAAGCGCTGACTGTGTGAAAACAATGATTTGACCAACTATATTTCAGCTGACTTTACAGCTAACAATATTACCACAACAGGGAATCAGATATTCTTCATCAACGCTTGGAAATATTCAGCGTATGCATCACTGAAGAAATGATCAAGCTGTGTGGTTTGCTTATTTAATTAAGACGGATAGATTAATTTCAATATCAAATGCACCTGTTTCTTTAAGATGAATGACAATCACCACGTTTTTCAACAAATTGTCAAGAAAGCTGTCTGAACTGCGGAACTACCTGAATACAAACTCGTGTCTAATGTCGTAGTTTTTCTCAATCCTAATTCCTAGTACAAGGATAGATATAGGTACTGAGACAATCTTGCATATTTGATGTAAAGGTCTTATAACCTTCAAGACATTTCCAACTACTGAGCGCAATCGACTACCTTGACAAACAAGGTCAATCAATGGCTGAAAAACAAGGTCCAATTGCCTAAAGCCATGATAAAGCAAAGCTAATCCCTTAATAGGCCTTGGGGTTGATTTATTGAAACTAGTCCGTACTTGACCAGGAACTAACACATTGTCACAAGACGTAGAACAAGTCAGCACCTTCAAATGTAAATATATTTTGTCCCTTTGTGGTTGTAAAGGGGGCGAGTGGCCTGTATTAAATGATCGGCATGTAGCAAGTTGCCGTGGAACAGTGGGATTATAATACGAATATTTGCTTAATTCAATCGAACCAGGAAGTTGGCTATTGACAATGAAACGTCTTTGAACGAACCGCTTTCATCAGATGTGGGCTAAATATGACAATAGACAATGGATCTTTTGGAAGAATAGCGATGATAACAACACAGCTGTGGATTAAAAGAGATACACTGAAAAATGCAAGCGGAACTTGGAGAGAAGCAAGATACATCTATACCAGAAAAATACAAGCGAAAAGTTCTTCTTGTGTTTTTCAGGTAGTTCGGTATCTCTTTCAATCCGCAGCTCGTGTCTTTGTGTATAGACTATAGTGTCTGTGTTCTACTGATTATAAACTAATAGACTGATCCATTGCCATAGTTAATATATAGAGATGCAATTGTGTCATTGTTCTCAAACGCGGAAATAGAGCCCATTGATTGAACAAAACATGTTCGAGTCATCGAGTGACTAGTGGTCCAAATCTGTTTGACTGTTTCTGCCATAGATTTAGGAACATTTCGAAATCAAAGCAAGTACTATTCAGTCTATTGCACTATCAGTCTATCTACAGTGGCATAAACCATTAGAACAATGTCCCTTTTGTCAGAGAACAATGGCATTCAATGTGTTAGCAGAGTAACAATTTACTGAGAAAAAGAAGTATGAACAACCATCTTTTATGTATGTGGTATAGCAGAACAACTGTCTTTTGCAACTGCAATAGCTAAATGTTTGTCAGAACCTTTATAATCAGTATTCTACTCTGTCTTTTTTTACTATATTGTATTTAAACATGCTTTTCTACATTGTAGATACCCAACTTTTCCTCCAAATGATGTTCAAAATCAACGTGATGCAGAGAACGCCATGGCAGATAAATATCTCTTGAGGTTGATGACTGCAACGCTAGTGCTTGGTAATACATTACGAAGGGAGGAGTACAGGGTGTTTTAAATTGTATGTTGAGGCCCCAGCAGTCACGATACCGGATTCGCTTGTCACGACATCGAATTTAACGGTCTCAGGAATATATATTAGAGAGGTTCAGATTTGACTTCCGATACCACCACCTCTCACTCCCTTAGTACGCATCTGATTGGTTAATCCGATCTATCAAACGCATCTGATTGGTTAATCCGATCTATCAAACGCATCTGATTGATTAATCCGATATATCAAACGCATCTGATTGGTTAATGGTCGCTTAATGGTAGCGGTAGTGGAAGTGAAATCTGAACCTCTCTAATAACACTTAATTGCGATACTATGGCAAACAAAATGAAAAGTGTTAAAGATAGAAATTGCTGCTGAACGGGATATGTTGATGTCGGTGAAAAGAGAACCTGGTGTCGTGTACCTGGGGCCTGACGTTAATGTTTCGTTGGTATTCACCGTTACCAAAGGAGACGGAGTCTTCATGCTAATGGTACATACAGTACATGCGTTGCGTGATATGAAAAGTGGAACGTGTGTGGAAAGGATATAGGTTGGCATATCAGAGATGACGTTATATGGCACCACAATTGCATATATCCGATTTCAACCCAGTTGCTTCAAAATCGCAACAGTCGCTAGAAGTCACAGTTTGGGGTTGAGTTGTCAGAAGTGAATTTGTAGCAAGTGCAAGTCATAGCCCGCAAATATTGCACACATCGTAGTCGTCTTTAACTTACACTATATTCAACGAATTTATTCTAGCCATTGTGAATAAATTTGAGGTAAATTAGACAAGGGAAAAAGTTAGTGACACGAGAAATGTATTCAAGATCACATCTCGTAACCGGTTTTCCGGCACCACAAAATGAACGCTCGATAAGTCATAAGCCTTGTATAATATAACTATAAGCCTTATTTGGCACATGGCTGTGAACCAAAAGGTCAAGGCCAGGACATTCAGTTTATGGTTAGTAACTAAGGGCCCGCATGCATTTTATCAGCGACACCTACGCTGAGAACTCACTTCTCAAGTCAATATTAAGAGCGGTGAAGAGCTATAACTGCATGGGGGGACACAGTGAGCTCTTTATATATACATAGAGTAATATCTTCAGTCATTCGCCTTATGAGAAAAGTGAAGCCAAGATGCTGGAATTTGACATCTAGCATACTTATACGAAGTCGTAAACAGTTTTAATACCATTTTTTCTTGGATAGATCCAATTTTTCCCACGGATCATATCGATAATCAAGCAATCAGTTGATAAAACCATATTGCTTTAAATCGAAGACAAAACACGAAATTTCGGCAAACTCCTTGCAGCTAACCGCGCAGAAAAGTACTACTCTAAAGGACTGGCACTGGGCGTCAATTTCCGCTATCTTTCACTTTCCCTTCACTGTTCGATCGCGAGTTCTCACTCCAGATATCTATCTCTCTATATATAGCTCACCGGGGGTACACTATATTTCAACCATAGAGATTTCAACACCAGTCACTGTATTATTATTTCACACATATACATTACCAATATATATATTAGTAGTGTTATTAAACCCCTGAGTACTGTTTAAAAAAATAATACCCTTTCGGTACTGTTAATTTGAAATAGATGCCAACAATACTTTCTGAATAAGTTCAGAATCGTGAATGGTGAAATGGCAGCAGGGGTTTTTCAATGGGAAAATAGAGTTTGGACCTCAGAGAACGGGATTTGCCCCAGCAATTCAGACAACATTTTGGTTGGGAAAATTGGCTGGCACGACCTTCTCTGAACTTGACTTTGTCTTTGGACATTGTCATGCGAGGCATGGTTTGAGGACTCGGCAAACGTCAAGGCATCTTACAGTTTATATTCTATATTCTATAATGATCTACGATTTTATGCTGAGACGAGTTCACAATGTACAAATCTTTTACTGAAAATGAAAATCGTGCTTCCCCCAACTGTACGGTTGAGCAATTCGGCGAGACGACGCTATTTAGATTTTAGATGATTGCTCATTATGCCAGATATTCATTGTCTTCCCACAAGTTTGCATTAAAACATGAACAAAAAGATAGAAGTCATAGAACAAAGACTTTGGTCGAGTTTCCAGACCAAATATACCTTAATTGACTATGCTTTGGTCTATAGTTATTTTTATATCTTTTTAACGTTAATCCCCGATGGCACGTTCATCCATCCATAAATTCGGTCCTACAGTATACTCATGTTTCGCGTCAAGATCAAAGAGGAATATTCGAACTATTACCAAAATTATTTTTAAGCCCTCGTTTATTTTCAATATTCGACTATACTTGATATGGCATATATAGAGTAGATATATAATAGGTCCTAAGAAAGATACTGTGGGAAAAGATACGAAAGCACTAGTATATAGATTTTTGCATACAGCATATAAAACATCGTGGAATATGATTTGGACATGATCAATTGCAAACGAGGCATAACTATAAGACAAGAGGATCCAAGCATAGAATTTCTGGTAATACATTGTTCTCTTTCATCCCCACACAAGGTCTGGCAATATTTAGTGCGCGTGGGGATGAAAGTACTCAAGTCACATGAATATTTCTCTCATCTTTATGATGATTGATAGATCTTAAATATAGCTTCAGAGGATTTGCACATATCGTCTTTGAAATTGCATTTTCATGTCATATATTTAATGTAGTAGTTTCTAGAAGGCTTTGAAATTGTATTTTATTGTTCGTTACTCACTGTTTTATTAGAAATACGAAAAGAATGTCGAAAGAAAAAAAATGTTGACCCACAGAGCTTCAGCACTTAGCACTCAAAGAGCTCACGAGATCGCATTTGAGATTTGCCCTGACGATTTTTGCAGGCCGCGCAATTTACGAAGGGGATACGCTAAACATGATTCTGATCTCATCTGCGATATTTGCCTCCCTTGCTTTTCGGCGCCATTATGGGTAAAACATAAGTAAAATATTTCGTGTCGTGATGCCATTTTAATATTCTTAATCAATTTCGACGGACATATATCTTGATGAGGCGATATATGAGACACCAAAATGAAACCCGTTTGAGTTTGCGACAATTATCATCGCTCGTTTATACGAATCTTGCACCGCAAAAATTAGATTTAACGATGTGGCCGAGTGTAAATGGCAGAATCTCACGATCTGGCTTGAAATCAAGAACTGACGGCACATACTAGACAGAAAAAGTTGAGTGCTTGCGAATATTCCTGCACTCGTGAAATAAGAGGGCTCTCGACTGAAGCAAAAGTCATTCTTTGTCGTGGAGCGCACGCCACGACAACCTCAAGTACCATGATCAGTGTGCGCGACTATTTTTGATTGTCAGCTAACTTTTGCATGTTACATTTTGTACAAATTTACTGGCGGTGTGGTTCACAGAGATCTTTTGTTTCGTATCACAGTGGTATCTAAATACCTTGAGCTATTTTAAGAGCAGATAGATCAAATGCTGTCCATCTGAATTTTAAGTCTGTTTTATTACTAGAAAACCGCCGACATTTAACGGATATCGATTAATATTAGCATAGTACTCGTTTAAAGTCTAATAGCCGAAACGTGGTTTTCTGAATTTTCTTTTTGTTCTACTCGATAAAAATATAAACTAGGTTTACCTTTTTCGGTCAAATTCCAAGCTAAATAATCAGCTCGTCAATACTATCGCGAAATCGGTCTTTATTTTATTAACGTCATAGGAGTTCCCATGGTAACAATATATCACCATGGGGTAATGCAACACAAGGAATAAGATTGATTTCGCAGCATGGACGAAGCAAATGTAATTGCAAGATCTCGGCGTAGATTATTTTCACCGCAGGTTCACGTTTTTTTCTTTCAATTGACGACTCTAAATAGCTCGTATAACAATGCGCTGAATCAAAGCACTTGCTCTTTTATGCTAATTTCCTACCATTAAAATTGTACATTATTTTTTAAAGGAAGAAATTCTTTAAATATCATGATGAGCATAATGATGACGAGTTAATACCGCCGGTTTCAGCTCAAATAAATTTATTTACTTAAGCTCCGAAAACAAAATATCCATTCCATCGATTTAATGATACTCGCAGAACACGAAAATTCCGAGTTCGAAATGTTCAATTCATGCTACATTCCGGCAACAGAATGGCGCGCGCGCGAAAACTTGCAGCTGTTCCCTGTATTTACATTTGATATCCGAATATCAGCAGGTTTCATAATGAAAAGCTAAGAACAAATTCCTGGTCGATTCTAGATAATTATAATGAAATCTGAAACACAATCGGAAAACGGACCGGCTGCCAGCGATAACCAGAAGGTAATTTTTTGAAATAATTTATTCCGAGTGTGTTTTATGGACATCTGCAAAAAATTGCAAGTTGCAATATTCGTGAATTCGTAATTAATTCTAATTTTTGACAACGCGTCCAACGCATGTTTGCGTTGTACTTGTGTCGGTCTATAGTCAGGTTTTTAGGAATATATAAATATAATAACTGAGATTATATAAGTTACATTTCAGGTACATAGTAGTCCGATAGCCTTTATAATATTGAGTTCTACAACTACAGTTCTCTATATGCAAATATTAATAAAACATTACAATATCATTTTATATACTGGACCAGTTGTTTGGCTCTGCCAGAGACAGACTGGCTGCTTGTCACACAGTGAGAAGCAACTAACCTTACACAATAAAAAATTAATACTGTATTAATGCCATATCCCGTTGCTGTCTAGTAAGAAATCGACTCCACGGACAGACCTTCTGAGATTGTTCAAAATGTACATGGGGTAATTTAGTCAAATAGATATATAATTTAATGTCCCTGATTTAACTTTGATTTAAGTCCATTTTTCTCGATTCTTGAACCAGTTTTGGACTGTAGTACTCGCTCAACTGTGCTTTTTAGAAAAGCTTCCGAGGGTAGTAGATTTATTGAAAACCTGGTCAAATTTTGGTCCTTGCCCTTTCGGCCATCTTCGCTGGAAGGAATGGCGACGCTTTGATAGTATAAATTACTTCACACCAATTCAATGTACCATATTTCCTGAAATATGACTAGAAATTGAAATTTCTGGAAGTGCAATTGCAGATACGTAATTGTCTAAGTTAAAATCCAAATGTCCATCATTGAATGCCGAATCATTTCGAAGGACTGTCTCAACGTCGCATGTAATGTCCCGGTCAAGTCTGTCAAGAAAATCAATGTCAAAGTCGCCTGGTAATGCGACCGAATCAGCCATTTCAACACTAATCATGGGTACTCCTTCGTTGTGAGAGGTATGGTAGTACGGTATATAGTTATTACCTTGCATTGGCAGTCGATTTGGGGTAGGTTGGGGCCTTTGCATCGAGGTATTTACATGTTGTACATTATATGGCGGCGGTGGTGGTCGTTGGTCGGGATGAATAATCTGCGAACTATTATTCCGTTCCAAAATTTGAAAATTACTTGGGGAATTCATATTCCCACGGAGGTAAAGACCATTTAAATGTTGCTGTAAGGTATTAGGAGGCGCCTCTTTGTACAGGCTTTTTTGAGGAGGGATTTTTGACGCTGTAAAAGGAGCTTGCTTCAAGCTTGGAGCAGGGAAGTAGTCGGTGCTCGGGTACCGGTTGTCAACAAACTGCGAAGCCGGTGGTGAGTCTATATTCATAGAGTCTTCATTGCATCTTGCTGCTCGAAATGCTGCAATATCAGCCGGAGATGCTGGTTGCGGATGAGGCATTGTCATACTCAGGTTTTCTTTCATATTATCCATTAATTCCTCGACTACAACAGGCGTATGTTGTTCTTGTGCTGGCGACATCGAGACTTCATCTAAATCAAACTCTTCATCGTGTGAAGGAATAGGCGACAGCCGACCGCTGATACTGCTCACATTCGATGCATTGGACGATGAACGATGCCTGTAGTCTGCTAAGGGGAAAGGGAATGGATTATCTTCCAATATAACCGAGGGTTCGGTATTTATAGGCGATTTGGGGGTAACACGAAGCTTTGAATTCGGGCTCAGTGGTTTGTCTTCGTTGTGTTCGCTTCGCTTGCCTTTCCTACCCGGTCGTTTGGTTTTTGTTGCTTTCGGGCCGCTATCTGAATCTAGAGAGCTTGAACGGCTTCTACGTTTCGTTTTCTCCGTCTTAGCATCGGCATCAACCATCCACCAAGACGATTTCCCATTCCCTTCATTTTGTATTCGTATAAAACGATTATGAAGGGACAAATTGTGCCGTATACTATTCTATAATGAACGAAATATATTGCTTCTTTATTAAAACGCAAACAGCTTAAACACACGTTAAAATATAGGTGTTATAGTATAATAACACAAGCTTGCATAACTACTACAAACGTTTAAATGTAATACTAAATATTAAATACAGCTTTACATACCTTCCAGCCAGCGCTGCTAGTGTTGTCTCCCTTGTCTTTGAAATATACGACATTTTCGACCATCCAAGCATATATTTGTGATAAAGTCATACGTTCCTCTGGAGCGCTCTGGATTGCTTGAGTTATCAAGTCGGCGTAGGACTGATTTCCCCAAGCATTTTTACGAGAACCTTTCTTCGAGCCCGGCTCAAGTTTTGCCGTCGATATTTTCTCCTCGACTTCGGGCGATTTTTGTGATTCAAAATCTTCAGGCTGCGGAAGGGGCCATGTTCTAGAACGTGGCCTGTTTCCTTCCATTTCTCTTAATATTTCATCCTCCATTCCTGATTCAAAACTATCACACGGTGACAATAACATACTGCTGCTACCTTGAACGTGTGTATCTGTATGCTTCCAACGCGAAACTCTAGCTGAATCAATTACACACAGAATTTATGTTTCGTTTCAGCAGCACGCCGCAAAACACCTCTCATAGGAAATGCATCTCGACCGTGACGTACATCTGCAATAAAACCTTGATCCTGATTGGTTGCTGTCATCATTGACCGCCCTATTAGAGCGCATATGTCTACGTCAGAATATTAACATAAGCAGATCTGACCAATCACAGCGCGGTTATAGATTACAGTGGTTAAAAATGAGGCGTGTTCTAAAATGCAATTAAATCTTCGTGATTGAAATCGAAGATTAATCTGCTGGAAATGAACTCATGAAAATTGTGGTACATTTTGTTGTATTAAATATAAACTCCTTGAATTTTGCGCGCTGTCAATATATTTGTAAAAAATCTAAATTTACTTAATTTATTCTTGAGTATTCAAACCACAGGTTTACAATTTGAAATAAAGTTACATGCTTAAAAATATTTTAAAACCGCCAAAAATGTTGGGCCGGTCACCGGTTTTATTACCCTACATGTTTTATAAAACATTAAGTGCGTTTTTAACCAGCAAACCCACATTGGGATTTTATTAATATTGCAAATTAAACTCAGAAAAAATTTAATTCACTAAATCATTCCATGCTTTCAGTTGTCCCGTTCATTATGTAATCTATAACGTTACATAGCTTCTGATGTCGTAATGTAAAAATCAACTCATTATGTTTTGCTTGGAAGTCATTTCAGACTCATTATATCTGATGTTTTCTTCTCAAAATTTCATTGTACTTTCATTATACAGTCTTTTATTGTCTATAAGTTGAATTCAATTATTCAGGTTTGATAAAAACGAGCTTCCGTTTTAAGAAAATCAGGCCAGCTTAAATCACGCGAGTTGTGGTCTTGTGGAGTCGTGCAATTGGATTGTCCAGAATTTTCTCAATTTTGAAACGTTTGAATAAACTTTGAATATTTGAGTGATTGAACAAGACAGACAGAAGGCCAAAATTTAGCTGCTTATTAGAGAAATTTTACGTTTTAAATTTGTAACATTAATAATATTAAAAAGTAAAATCTTTGAAGGACAGTGTTCTATAAATCACGGACATCGCGTGCCTGCTTACGCTAATTGCTACTGATTAACATTCAGGAAAGGAACACAGAGCTGCTCAAGTAACTATAGCAATGCAATAATTCTGGCACCTATCGCGTCAGCAAGGCATCAAATGTCGTATATATCATATATCAATGTTGGGTGATTGTCATATGGACAAATATGGAAAAGAATGGGCGTTCTAAAAGTTATTAATATATTTTCTACATTTATATAGATTTACAGTATATTCCAGATTGAACTGTCCAATTTTCTGAACACACTATATGCTAGTTCCGGCTTCGAACTTTGTCTTGGAACCTTTTCCAAAAAGATTCAAACTTCCAAAAATTTCAAGTAATTACAGTCTTCCCATTGTAGGGGACTATAAATATTGCAACAGTAATGTCGGAAGGATTCTCTGAAGTGGTGTACTTTATCAGAAATATTCGGAAAGAACTTGGCCACAGTCTAGATCAATATAATGATAGTCAGCGAAATTAGTTCCAAAGATTTATATTATTATATGAGTTCTGCAGAGGGTATCATGGTTTAGTTTATATTTATTGATATTTTGTGTTTTATATATTCACTCATTAGGAGCTCCACGATTCCAGGAGCAAGAAATTTAAACCAGATCTCTCAATTCTATTTTTGATAATATATTTGACTATTTCTCACTGTGATAGCTGTTGGTTGCCGGCATCATGCGAGACACCTAGACCCTATAGGGGACTATAGGCGCATGCATGGTCTGCTGTCTCCATCACGATGGTTGGGAACTGTGCCGGTGTCTTAGCCCAAGGTGGCAAGGTTTGGCCAAACGCCAATAGGAACCGCGATGTTGGGATAACCTAGGGCTAGGTGCGGATGTTCCGTGAATTGTCCCTAACTTCTGCGAGAATTTTGTCCCTAAAATTCTGAAAGAATTTTGCCTACACCGATTAATCACGCACAATTTCAAGTTACACTATTCAGTGCATATTGACTTTATGGAGATTACAAAATTTACACTATTAATAAACTTGCCGCGACGCAGTTATTGTTAGACTTCAGTTTTATAATACTCAGTGGGATTTCTCTGTATAGTCAGGTCATATTCTTGATTGCTATCTGCACTGAAATCCCACATTCAAGTAAATCTGTTTGCCATACAAGGTCTATACTTCGGATGGATCAATATTCCGAATCTCATCTTACGGATGTCCCACTTAGCACATGAAGAAAGGCTTTTTATGTTACGAATATGTTGTCTGGTAACAGAAACGTTAAGCAACGCTTTGAAGACAGCCGAATCATCGAATATTCTCGTTTGCAACAATGGATATTGGGCACGATTCTTCATGAGCACATGACTTTCAAATGACGTCACCTCAGGGGTCAAAACGTAAATCGTCAATCTCGTGAATACGATTGTTTGCACTTTGAGTCAGCAGTGAATTAAATTGAATTTACACAATGCATTTATTCTCTTCGCTTTGACGTCAATCAAATACAAAACGTACACATGAAAGAATACACGAGGCTTAAAACAGGAGCAAACTACCGTTTGAAGGTGGAGTTTTTTTCATGCTTTCTGGTTTCATTATAATGTTCCATTGTTTGGATAACCATGTGCCCTGCGGTTTTAAATATGAATTGCAAAAAATATGAACAAACGTCCCCATTTTCTACTGTTTTGAAATACACATGTCGTTGTTATTATTTTATTAAATTTTAACCTATTGAGCGCCAGCGCTCTCCCCTTGACGAGTAAAATTGTTCGTTCGTCGTTCTTCTATCAAAATTATTTCCGGTTACGAAAGGGAGAAACGAATATTTCCATCACATCCTTTCACGTATTACTCCTGTGGATAGTCACGTTTTAATGCTACTTTCTAGTCAGTTCTATATTTGTACAGTAACAAATCATTCAAAGTGCTCACTTCCGCCATTGGCATTGATACTATGATCCAGTGGCGGCGCCAGCCTTTTAAAAGTGGGGGGGATTTTCGAGCGGTGAAGGCGCGAGACACTTCTAGGGGGGTCCGGGGGCATGCCCCCCCGGAAAATTTTTGAAATCTAGAGTCCCTGAAATGCGATTTCCTGCA